CCCGCCCCGCCCGCCGCCGGCGCCCGCGGCCACCGCGCCTCCGGGTTTCCCGCCCGGCCGGGGGTGCCCAACCCTGCTCCCCGCCCCTCGCCCCCGGTGAGTCCGCGGGTCACTTCCGATGGTTACCTAGCACCCCCCCACCCCACCTGGTGACTCCTCAGGTCACCCCCGATGGTGACCTAGGACCGCCCTCCGTCCCACCTAGTGACACCTCAGGTCATCTCCCATGGCGACTAAGCACCCCCCCCCAACCTAGTGAGTCCTCGGGTCACCCCTGATGGTGACCTAGGACCACCCCCCACCTAGTGACACCCTGGGTCACCTCCGATGGTGACCTAGGACCCCCCCCCACCTAGTGATACCCTGGGTCACCTCCCAGGGTGACCTAGGGGTCCCCCCACCCCACCCCCGCCACCCGGTGACTCCGCGGGTCACCTCCGATGGTCACCTAGGGCCGTGGGGTGGCGCGAAGCAGACCCGCTTTTCAGGATCAGGGCTGGGCTGACTGCTGACCACCTCAAGGGTCGGCGCTCCCACAGACAGCTCTGCCGGAATCTCTTTCCTCTGCACCGCTGGTTGACTTCATCCAGTCCAAGAGCTCAGACACATCTGTGTTCTGAATCTGAGCTTCAGGTGCTTGCATCCAGTAGCCCATTTGATTATGCCACCTTGATGTCCTTTTGGCAGCTCAAGTTTCAGGTGTAAACAGGCGCCGGTCAAAAGCAAGAAACTGGAAATACATGACCTGTGTGCTGAGGTATGAGGAGGGAAGTGTGTTGATGTCCGCAATTGAAATGAATTGCTAAAGTAAGGGAACTCCCTGGTGGCCCAGTGGCTGAGGCGCTGGGCTCCCAAAGTAGGAGGCCCAGGTTCGATCCCTGGTTGGGGAAAGAAATCCCACATGGCACAGCTAAAGATCCCATGTGCTGCAACTAAGACCCAGGGCAACCTAAATAAGTATTTTTAATTAAAAAAAAAAGTGTTTAAAGTAAGATGGGCTGAAGAACATGGATAGAAATACAGTAAGATGGCCCTTGTAGATGTCATATGTGGGTATTCACAACTGGTAAAAGTCTTCCCCAGTTGCTCTTTGAAAATTTTCAGTGTACAGTGTTGAGGGAACTGTAATGTGTGAGACATCGCTTCTCCCTCCACCACCCCATGAGCACACACACCACCCCATCTTAATCTTCACATTTTGGTAAATTTGCCAGTTCCTGAAACCAACAAGTCAAGTTTCTCTTTTCTCTCCTTGTCCCTCTGTCTCTCTTACCACCTTTTATACCTCTATTCAATCCATTAAGAAATCTGAGCTATTCTGTTGCCCACTGCTGTTTAGTGGATAAATCATGTCACTAAGTCATGTCCAACACTTTGCAACCCCATTGTAGCCCACTAGGCTCCTCTGTCTATGGGATTCTTCAGGCCAGAATACCAGAGTGGGTTGCCATTCTCTCCTCCAGGGGATCTTCCCTACCCAGGGATCAAACTCCTGTCTCCTGCATTGGCAGGCGGATTCATTACCAGTGAACCACCTGGAAAGCCCTCTGTGGTATTCTACCTTCAGTTTTAATACTTCTCACCATCAGCATGGATATTACTCTGCATCAAACCACCATCATCTCTTTCCTGGGCTACTGTAATAGTTCCCTAACAGAGGAACGACTCATGTATCCACCTACAACCACTTCTCCCCAGTTGGAGTGTTATTTTTTTATGTAAATGAGATCTAAGTATTCTGCTCAGAACCCTTCAATAGCTTCCTATTGCTTTTTTTTTTTTTTAATCCAGTGCCTTAAACTGCCCTGCAAAGCCCTGCACAAACTCTGAGCCCCCTCCCCAGCACTCTACACAGCTCTCCAAACAATGAGGTCCTCTTTCCTTCCCTACCTCAGGGCTTTATCACCCTCTGATGCTGGAGCAAGACTTCTCCAGGCTACATTTTATAGCTTGCTTTTTCATTTTCTGTATCAACCACCATCTGCTTCTGCATGGGTAAAATTAAGCTGACCCAAACAGTGCAGAAGGCAGAAATCACAGCGAAGACACCACTCTGAAAAGGCCCTGCTGTATGGGTCCCTCAGTGTCCTCCAGGCATCAGTTCCAGGACGTCTGTTGTTTTTGTTTCCCTGAGTCGTGTCTGACTCTGTGACCCCATGGACTGTAGCCTGCCAGCCTCCTCTGTCCATGGGATTCTCCAGGCAAGAATACTGGAGCAGGTTGTCATACCCTCCTCCAGGGGATCTTCCTGACCCAGGGATTGAACCAGCATCTCTTATGTCTCCTGCATTGGCAGGTGGATTCTTCACCTCTAGTGGGAACCCTAATATAAGCTGTGGACTTCAGATGTGTCAACAGAGGTTCACCAGTGGTAACAAATGTACCCCTCTGCTGTGGGATGTTGGTCGTGGGGAAGGATGTGTGTGTGTCAGGGGACAGAACGTCTATGGGAGCTCTGTACTCGTCATTCAGTGTTGCTGTGAACCTACAACTGCTCTAAAAAGTAGAGTATATTTTGAAGAGAGAGGGGGGATGAATGAAGAAAGCAGTGGTGACATCCATACACGATCATGTGTCCAACAGATAGCTGGTGAGAAGTTGCTGTGCATCAGGGAGGCCTGCCTGGTGCTCCATGATGATCAGAGGGCCGGGTGCAGGAGGGGAGGGAGGCTCAACAGGGAGGACGGCTGATTGGGGTTGTTGCAGGCAGAAACCAACATAACCCTGTAAAGCAATTGTCCTCCAGTTAAAAAAAAACAAAACAGTGATAGAGAAGATGCTGCCAGTTAAGTGGGAAAAGAAGAATGGAAATAGACTCTCTCTCCCCTGATAATGCCTATGAAATAAAATCTGTTATCTTCAAGCCCTCCATCTCTTAAAGGTCGCCTCCATCCTGTGCGGCTTGCTGATTAACTGTCAGAGCCTGCAAAGCTGTAGATGGCCCTGGTCGATCACGGCCACACCACTGGCCCCTGGAGTTGTGTGGGGCTCCTCAGAGACAGAGGAGGGGCGGAGCGGCGCCAACAGGGACAGTCCCGAGTCCAGAGCTGCCACGAGACTGCCTTCTGCTGCTGTCCTTCTAAGGAGCCTCTGTTTTTAACCCTGTGGAGCCTGTGACTCAGTCCACAGGAATTCCCAGACTATTCAGAATGGGTTTCTACCTACTCCGCCTTTCTCTTTCATCTGATAAAAATAATCACTTTCTTGAACGAAGTGACTGTGTCTTCAAACATCATCTGTTAAAAGACGCAGATTTCCTGAGAAAATCACCGCATCAACCCTTATATTCCACTCACACTACGGCCCTGGGAAACTGCACGCAGGACCATTCAGTCTGGATTCAGATAAAGGAGTGGGGAGCCTAAATCAGGCTTCCCTGGAGGCTCCGTGGTAAAGAACCCACCTGTCAAAGCTGAAGATGCAGGTTCGATCCCTCAGTAAGGAAGGTCCCCTGGAGAAGGAAATGGCAACCCTCTCCAGTATTCTTGCCTGGAGAATCCCATGGACAGAGGGGTCTGGAGGACTGCAGTCCGCGGGGTCGCAGAGTCAGTCGCGACTTAGTGACTAAACAGCAACAACAAGCCTAGCATTAGAGTCCTCTGATCCCAAACTCAGCACAGCAGGCCAAGCAGGGCCCTTCCTGTGAGCACCTGGGTGCAGGAGAGACAGGAGGAGACAGGGAAAGGAAACGAGATGAAGTCTCCTAATAGTTAAGGCCAGTTAGAAATGTCTAGTGTTTTTCCTCATTTTCAACTGTTCTGGTGAACCCTGCTGGCTCCCAACACCTCGGAACTCTCCACCTTGGCTTTGCCTTCTCTGTGCCCTAGGTCAGCAGCTCTCAAACATTTTCATCTCAGAATCCCTTAGAGTGTGTTAGCTGCTCAGTCGTGTCCGACTCTTTGTGATCCATGGACTATGGCCCACCAGGATCCTTGTCCATGGGATTCTCCAGGCAAGCACACTGGAGTGCGTTGCCATTTCTTCTACACTCTTAAATTATTGAAAACAACAGAGCACTTTTTCGTGGACTATATTTGTCCTATCCACCTGTTAGAAATGAAAACAGAGAAATGTTTAAAACACAAACACACACAGCATGTAAGTCACAGAACAGCGACATCATCAGATATCAACAGTCAGCTTTGGCGGTTTCCTCTGCTCACAGCAAATTGCAATTGCTCTTCAACCTCATGATAGCTGTGATGTAATTTCTTGAGGCCTTTATTTTTCTTTACTGCTCTGGTCACAGCACTGACTTCTAGAGTCATTGCCGAATCATGCCTCTATTGTAAACAAAAATTTTTCTATACTTATTTTTTAACTAGAAACATAATTTTATTATATGATACATAAATAATAAACATTTCAACTTAATGACCAATGATGATTTACATAGGTATCAGTTCAGTTCAGTTCAATCTCTCAGTTGTGTCCAACTCTTTGCGGACCCCATGGACTGCAGCATACCAGGCTTCCCTGTCCATCACCAACTCCCGGAGTTTACTCAAACTCGTGTCCATTGAGTTGGTGATGCCACCCAACCATCTCATCCTCTGTCATCCCCTTCTCCTCCCACCTTCAATCTTTCCTAGCATCAGGGTTTTTTCCAATGAATCAGTTCTTCGCATCAGGTGGCTAAAGTATTGGAGTTTCAGCTTCAGCATTAGTCCTTCCAATGAATATTCAGGACTGATTCCCTTTAGGATGGACTGGTTGGATCTCCTTGCAGTCCAAGGGACTCAAGAGTCTTCTCCAACACCACAGTTCAAAAGCATCAATTCTTCGGCACTCAGCTTTCTTTATAGTCCAACTCTCACATCCATACATGATTACTGGAAAAAACATAGCCTTGACTAGACGGACCTTTGTTGACAAAGTAATGTCTCTGCTTTTGAATATGCTGTCTAGGTTGGTCATAACTTTTCTTCCAAGGAGTAAGCGTCTTTTTATTTCATGGCTACAGTCACTATCTGCAGTGATTTTGGAGCCCAGAAAAATAAAGTCTGCCACTGTTTCCACTGTTTCCCCATCTATTTCCCATGAAGTGATGGGACCAGATGCCATGATCTTTGTTTTCTGAATGTTGACCTTTAAGCCAACTTTTTCACTCTCCTCTTTCACTCTCATCAAGAGGCTCTTTAGTTCTTTTTCACTTTCTGCCATAAGGGTAGCGTCATCTGCAGATGTGAGGTTATTGATATTTCTCCTGGCAATCTTAATTCCAGCTTGTGCTTCTTCCAGTCCAGCATTTCTCATGATGTACTCTGCATATAAGTTAAATAAGCAGAGTGATATTTTACAGCCTTGATGTACTCCTTTTCCTATTTGGAACCAGTCTGCTGTTCCATGTCCAGTTCTAACTGGTGCTTCCTGACCTGCATACAGCTTTCTCTAAAGGCAGGTCAGGTGGTCTGGTATTCCCATCTCTTTCAGAATTTTCCAGTTTATTGTGATCCACATAGTCAAAGGCTTTGGCATAGTCAATAAAGCAGAAATAGATGTTCTTCTGGAACTCTCTTGCTTTTTCTATGACCCAGCGAATGTTGGCAATTTGATCTCTGGTTCCTCTGCCTTTTCTAAAACCAGCTTGAACATCTGGAAGTTCACGGTTCACGTATTGTTGAAGCCTGGCTTGGAAAATTTTGAGCGTTACTAGGTATCATCACTATGTAAATCATGTCTTCTCATTTTATATCTTCATAAAATATTCAGTTAAACACATTACAATATTATATCTGTGCATAGAAAAAAATCACTCAAGCTGAATTAATCCACTGACACCAAGATGAGTGAAGTGTTTACGCACAATCCTAAAAATGAGGTGCATACCTAACACACTCTAATACAATAACAATATCTTATGAGATGCAATAAAGCAAAATACAGTCTACCAAAACAGTCAAGTTTGTGTTGAACAGAGAAGTACTATACGCTGTTCAAGTTTTTAAATTTAAGTTAGTTAAGATAAAATATAAAATTCAGTCCCTCAGTGTCACTAGCTATGTTTCAAGGGTCAAAAGCCACATGTAATTCATGGTAAACATATCCCTCATTACAGGTTTAGAGACTTCCTTATTCTTCCTGAGTCAGTGTGAGGAATTATTATTCTAGGAATTTGCCTATGATGTTTGCTTTCAAATTTATTTAAGTTTTCAAATTTAAAGTTGTTCAATTATTTATTATCTTTTAAACCTCCATCAATTTTGTAGTTTCTCTTTCTTAATTTTGTTTATTTGTGCTTTATTCCCCCCCTGAATTAGTCCCACTAGAAGTGTATCTACTTAACTGGTTTTTTCAAAGGCTCAATTTGGGGCTTTATTGATTCACTATACAATATTTGTCTTCCCTTCTACTCTGATTTCTGCTCTTTGTTTTGGTTGCCCTCCTTCTGTTCTATTTTCATCTGCTTTTTCTAACTTCTTAGTTTGGACGTGTATCTTGTTAGAGGCGTCCCAGATGGTTCTATGAGTAAAGAATGCCCCTGAAATTCAGGAGATTCAGGAGACGCTGGTTTGATTCCTGGGTCAGGAAGATCCCCTGGAGCAGGGCATACATCTTGTTAAGTTTGCTTTGGTTGGCCAGAGCCTGTCTTTCCTGCTGGTGGCTAAGGACCCCCCCCACACACACACTGATAATGCTTTGATTCATCCTTTCCTCCTCCAGGGAGTATTCTGGTTGCTACCTCAGTGTAAGAAAGCCCCTCGGAACTTAGTGATTTTAAACGGAACAATCACTTCCTGACATTGGATGGCTCCTGTGGGTCAGGACTTGCAGGGAGCGCCTCCTGGCTGGGCGTTTCCGGCTCAGGGTCTGTCATTCATGCCAATCAGACAGTAGGCAGGGCCTGAGGCCCAACCCAGCCTCTCTCTTGGGGGGTTACTGGGCACCCCGTCCGTCGGTCCGCTCAGGGCTCCAGCACGAGTGCTTCAGAGAACAGGGCAGAAGGTACATCACCTGTTCTGTCTGAGCCTCAGAAGTCACGCGGCACCAATTTTGCTGCATTTTTAGTTACGAAGGAAGTCAGGAGCACACCCAGATTTGAAAGACCAGGACACACACCTCTTCATAAGAGGACCATCAGGGTCCTGTTGTGAGCAGCATGTGGGATGGGAGCTATTGTGCAGCTGTAGTCACTCAAACTGGGAGCAGTGACACACACAGCCCACCCTGACCAGAGGACCATGTGCCAAGTGTCATCTTTAAGACACTGTACTTCTCAAGGTGGACATTTCCACAACCTCTGCCTGGCGGCGTTTTCTCAGGCTCAGTATAAAGAGAGAGGAATGAATCAGGTAACACGTGGGCATAGAAAGACTCCCACTCCAAATAATGGCTCAGTTTTTGAGGTTAGATCCCACATGACACAACGAAGACCCCGTATGCCACAACTGAGATCCGACACAGTCAAATAAGTAAGTAAATATTTAACAAAATAATGTCTGATGGCATTGGAATGGGAAGCTCCCTCAGAGAAGAATCTGGTAGGAAGAGGGTGATCCACACATAATGGGTGTAATCTATACAACATTACAGAAAAATCCAAGACCATCCTCAACAGAAGTCATCTGGCCAAGAGACCTCATTGAATATAGTCGGAAAATATCTAATGCTATCTGGATACCCTAGTTGAATTTTGTTAAGTACTCCACTGATTTAATAACACACTAAACAGATTTTTTAAAAATAAGAAAAAGTTGCATGATAGTTCAATAAATAAAAATGCCCAATCATCTTCAATACTCTCTATCATAGTTTGAAAAGAAAAAAACCTACAGTAAGGGAGCAGGAGAGGGATGAATTGGGAGTTCGGGGTTAGTAGATATGAACTTTTACATACAGAATGGATAAACAACAAGGTCCTACTGTATAGCACAGGGAACTGTATTCAATACCCCGTGATAATCATCATGGAACAGAGGATAAAAAAGTATATACGTATAAAACTGTGTCACTTTGCAGTATGGCAGACATGAACACAACATTGTAAATCAACTACATTTCAGTAAAAAATAAATTAAAAATAACAAAAATAACCTACAATAATTTTTCCTGGGGTAGGGGTGAAGAAAGCAAAAGCATCAGGTACAAAATATAGCTCTAGGGCTTCCCTGGTGGCTCGGTGGTGAAGAATTCACCTGCTAATGCAGGAGACACAGGTTTGATCCCTGATCTGAGAAGATCCCGCAACTAAACCCATGTGCCTCAACTA